GGGATGTAGGGGAGAGGGGGGGGAAGGAATGTTGTGTCTACTCTTTTCCTACATAATCCACAGCCCAGTTATTTCATACCCAGAACCTAATCTCGCCCAGGTGGTTCTGATTATTAAAACTCGCATCGCGGCTTGTTTGCTTGAGATGTATCCCTCAATTTATTACTGTTTTTTTTTCTTTCGTTGACACAAGTCGGTTGAGTGGGACGTTGGTGAAGGCGATTGAATGAAATGAATGAATGAATGAAGAAAAAAAAATAACATGAGGAGCGACGCGCACGATGACGGAGACTTACGTATGGCTTACGTACACGTACATTGCGTCACATGCACGGCTACTTTCACCTGACTCTTGCGACTTACCATTCAACTTCAAATTCGGTGTCTTTTTAAACTAAAAATAAAACATACTTGATTATCTGTCGTCAAAGTTAGGTATAGCTGCCTTGTTTGTGTAGAAATTAGCATGTTTCCTCAGGGAGATTTGGGTACTTTCGATACGTCGAGTAGACCTTCAAGAAACCATTTTTTGTATCCGACCTTTTCAAACGGCGAAGTCAAGTCCAAAATTATTTTAACAATCAAATGTTCTATGCACCCCCACTAGTCTAAACACGGCATTCTAATTCAGATTCCTTTTGTGGGATATGAATTAAGCGGCAAAATCCGATCGTTTTTACAGTATATATATCTCAGAGGTGGGGGCGGCCATTTTGCCACTTGCTGTCGACTAAAAATGACATCACAGTTGCGCAGGGCTCAGGTGACGAAGTAAAAACGCGGTTAACATTCGAACCGCCTGTTGTCATTTTTGCTCGTCTCATTTTTGGAAACAGAGGCGCTGGAAGCGACAAAAAAGTCACGATGTGCAGTGAATATGTCGCCAAGCTGGCGACATTGCCTGCTAGCTTGCTTGTACTGATAAGACAAAAGCTTACCTTTCAAAATTAAAGCGCTGTCGATTTTGCATTTTACCTCATGGTCACGGTGAGGGCAAGCCAGAGAAAGTGGGCAGGTCTGTTTAAATCTGCTTGAGAATTTTTTTTTTTTTTTTTTTAAGACTTTCATGCTAGTTCCCCACGAGCTTAAACTAAAGTTTCGAACGTCAACTTGCTTGTTTCCCCTCTGGTTCATTCATTCCTTGACCCTTAAGGATTTACCCGACTCGTTTAAGGCTTTCCAACCACAGTTTACCTCCAGCAGCTCAGTCGACCACAAGTTCCTTCAACATTAATCGAAAGCCGCCGGCCTTGGTGGCCGCAACTGCGTCCCGTCCGCTGCGTCGTTACGGGCCTCTGAGGCACTTTTTTCCATCTCTCTCTCTCTGTGCTCTCGGGCGCCCACATTGTTAGCAGTGGGCGTCTTTATTTAGAACGCGGCAAGAGTAGCATTAAAGATAATTGCACGGTGAGGAAGGTTCTTTTTTTTCCTCGCATAAAAAAAAAAAGGCCATCTCTCCACATAAACTGGAGAGTTGCAGTCCAGTTTTCCGAGTTGCTCCCTGCAGGATGCGGTCAGACGTCGACGTCGGTAATATGAAGGTATGCCTTTTTTGCTTAAGCCGTTCACCAAACCCTTTCATCCAATGAGGCTCTTGAGTTTTTTCAAGCACATTTTCGCAGCTCATCAGGCAGCGTTTGGTGACGTGCACACTTCAAATCTAGATGAAGGCCAGCTTGGCGGGGGTTCAGCTTTTACGCATATTTTAAGCAGCGGCTGAGCACAGCATTCTTACTTTCATGCCCAGATTTCCCAAGAAAATTCTTATTCATTGTGTTAGGTTGGTGTTAGAAATGCATGTTGGTCAAACTCGCACTTTTTTTTTTTTTTTTAGATGAATTTACTGCAAGCAGACAATGAACGAAACAAAATGAAAAATATGTCAGCTTGCTGACAGGGCAGACAATGACAGCGTGGACATTTTTGGCTAATGTTAAGCTTTTCATGAGCACACGGTGGACGTTCACTTTGGGCACATGCAAAATGTTCAATATGTTGACGAAAAGAAAATCACGTCCATCCAACGGAAGGAAAAAAATGGTGCAGAAAGAAGGAAACGCATTTTAAGAGCCTCATCATTGCGCTGGTATGTGTGCAAACGTTTATCCGCTTCTGATAAGACCTCGGGGTTTCACTATTTGCTACATTCTCATGATGACTGAGTGATCCTGATAAGGAGACCAAATGCACTTTGTATTGATAGTGACCCTGTGAGGTTTATGAAAACAATACATGAAATATTTAAAACAGACTGAACCTTGAAGTGAAGACAAACAAAGGAAGCACACAATTTTTGTCTTTACAAACCAAAGGCGCAAAAAAATAAAAGAAAGTAAGGAGAGAAAAAAAACGCAAATACGGAGCTACAGTGGTTCCTCAGCTTACAAAATTAATTGGCTCAGGAAGAAATTTCTTAACGAGAAAATTTTGTAAGTAGAGACGCGTTTTCCATATAAATGCTCTAATCCGTTCCAAGCCCCCGAAAATTCAGACATAAATGTTTTCTAAAATATCAAAAATGGATCAAAATATGTAACAAATACATGTTACGATTAGATTATTGCACAATAAATGAGAGTTGTGCATAATCTAAAAAAAAAAAACAAAGAATAAAGAATAAAAATGATGGTCATTCCACTTTTAACTGCGTCCTCATCGTTTTTTGCCCTCTTTAATCCATGTTCTCTCTCAGAAGTGGTTTTCGCCTGGCGTTTTGTCAAGAACTGATCCAAGGACCTTTGCTTTTTGTCGGCTTTTAACAACAAAAAAATGTCCAAGGCAAACATCAGCATCGTGAGCGATCGCCGGACCGGTGAACACTTTTTCCGAGTGATTCACAATTACGTAAAACTATCGGAACCCCCCGCCCCATCCTTACCTTCATGGTGGAAGCCCCTCACTGTGTTGGCTCGGCTGGCCGACCTTTCCGGGTACTCAAAGGCAATTTCGTCGCCGCCCACGGACTCCTCTCCCTCGCCCGACTGCAGCCGATAAAGGTCCAGCAGGTAGCGCGGCACGGCGGCGACCGAGCGGCTGGGCCGGGGCCGCCTCTTGAGGCCGAACATGTGCAGCAGGGTGGCCTCGAAGTCCCGCAGCAGTTCATGGCTCTGAGTGTCCGAACGACCCTGCGGGCCCGCCACTTTCTTTTTTCCTTCTTCGGGTATCAGACTGGCATGGTTGCTGTCTCCCAGCAGGACTTGGCATATGAAAAGGACCATCAGCATTCGATTACCAGGAATCATGATGTCTCTGACGGGGGACACGGGTTTACAAGATTAGAAATTGAACTTTGACCCACACCGGAGACAGGACTTATAAACCGCCCACTAATTGTTTTGAACGAGGCTTGTTTACAGTAAAGAAGAGCACTTGCATTTGATCTTTGCGACAGACTTCAAAGGCAAGCCCAAATGTAATTGTAGTCGGCGCCGGGGGCGTGGTGGTCGTTAGGAATTTTGAGAGATTCCTGAACGCAAATTGGCGCGCATCAGGGCTGGTCTAACCCCCACAAACCCCGACTGCAGAAGATCCAAACTTTAATTCAAGTGTATTCTATCCATTTTTTGGGGGGGGGGGGGGTAAGGGCATTAGGATCAATATAAGCTTCTGTTTGGAAGTTGCATGACCACCATCTGGGGTGTGGGTAAAAATTTTGAAAATGGGGCCCAAGAACCTTGTCACTAACACTTGTTTTTTTCACATGCACACTTTAACGACTATTGATCCGCTAAAAGCAGGGGTGTCCAACTCATTTTTGTCGCGGGCCACTTGGGGGTTAACGTCTTTAGCAAGGATCATGGAAGTTCACACACATGATTTGCTTTCGCGGGCCGCATAAAATGACGTGGCGGGCCCGATCTGGCCCCCGGGCCTTGGCTTAGACACCGGTGTGCTAAAGTGTAGTCGCAGGTCTCCAGACTTTCCCTAAAATTGAATACTACGTTTTTCATCGAATCGCCCATGTGCGACCAGTATGGTTACAGATTTTTTATTCAAGAAAAAAAATATTTATTGATATATTTTATGGCATAAGGGACACATAAGAAAAAAATAACGCATTATAAAAATGAAGTTAAATATTTTTACATAATTAAACACTGCACAGAACCAATCCCCTTGACTGGATCATCAGATGATGATAAATCCACAGAGCCCGCAAACTATTTACGCTAAATCACGTGCGGCACAAATATTAGCACCCCCGATGCGAATACGCCGCGCAACCGCCTTTGGGCCAACAAAACGGCACTTCATCTTCTCCTATAGGACCAATTTTTCCACTGCGTTCGCGGCCAAACCAAAACTGGATTTACACACGCTTTCGATGGGGCCCGCGCAACCGCCTTTGGGCCAACAAAACGGCACTTGATCTTCTCCTATAGGACAAAATTTTTCCACTGCGTTCGCAGCCAAACTAAAACTGGATTTACACACGCTTTCGATGGGGTGACTTTCACAAAAATCGCACGCCCACTTACTTACCGACAGAAAATAAAGCATGGGAAAACAGTCCATGTTTGTTGAGAGCGGGCGGCAGACACGTTCTTCCAGGAAATGTTAGGTGGCGTTGGGCGGCTGCAGGAGAACGTAGGAGTGAGCTTGTTCCTGGAAGAGACACACACACACACACAAAGAACTTATAAACTTAATTACCGTAGATAATTGCAAACATGAAAACAAATGTCTCAAAGTTGTTGTTTTTTTTTTTTTTTTTTTTTTTTTAATGACCATCTGTGTCTGTGAAATTGCAATGATGGGATGATGACTAAGACGCGACCTTCGGCTTTTCCCTGTGAGGGGTCACCACAGCGAGTCAAACAATGTTTACCATGTTGGTGTCCTGTCATTGTTCCTGCTCAGAACCTAACCGCTAATCATCAGAAATGCATAATAAAATGAGTTGTCTCGGCGTAAAGCTTAAAACGCACGCATTTAGAATGTTAATCATTTCATGTTGATCTGTTCCTGGTTATAAAGCTAGCAGCGATTACGGACTTGGTGGTTTAACTGTTCCTGCACAAACCAATAAAAAAAAAAAAAGTGACAAAATGCACTCGTCTGGAGGTGAAACTTGAAAACGTCCCCCCACCTCAAAAAAATCACATTTGTACGAGCTTGTTCATGTTCCTGTTTAATGCCAAAATCAAATAATACCTTCAAAGACTCAGAATTGAGTCATCTGCATCTAAAGTTTAATACCAAAAAGATACAATTTTCTTTTTTTCTTTTTTTAATCCCCAACAGACTATCAACCCAGCGCTCTGCAAACTTGGGTCAATTCGTTCAAAGTAAACATGGCGAAGCAGCATTTAGCTGTGATGCTGCACGCCAGCGGAATAAATAGTAGAAGTCAACACCAAATATAAATACTTTTAAAACGACATTAAAAACGATGCTTTTATTTATTTACTTTGTCTTTTTACGTTCCTTTAATTAAGATCTTTTCAACATTTTCAACATGTGCTCATTTCAGATTTCAGGGAGCTACTTTTCATTTCTTTCCTTTGCTTGAAATGTCTTGAAATCTTTTGTTTGTCAATGTATTGAAATGTTGGCCACGAGCATTCTTTGTGTAATTTTTATCAAGCTTACTTTTTGTTCTCTTTGCGTTTCCTTTGGATTGTCTTCAGCCGTTTTGTGAGGAAATGCGTTGAGGTGTGTTGTACTTTTAAAGCACACTTTGTTGCCATCTGTGTGAAATGGGCAATATCAATCAAGCTCCTTCGCCTTCTCGGTTGACAACTGTCAGTCATTGCAAGCATGTCATCGACATTTTTCATCATAGCTGAGTTGTTGGCCCATTCCTGCTCCAAACGAAAATATTCCCAATCGAGACATCCGTCCGTGAAATAAACGAGGAGATAACCGCATCCTTTTTTTTTTTTAACTTGGTACTGACGTAGTGCAATATCTCAACGCGAAGGCTCATTGCAACCCAAGAGAATTTTCCAATCCAAAACACAGTATACCAAATGCCCCCCCGCCGCCACTTCAAAACAATTTTTTTTCCTTCCTTTACATCCTTTGCCATTGCAAGGATGCTGCACTCTTTGAAAAACTTAGCATAGCATCGCTCGGGCATTATCGGTCTAAATCAAACCTGAATCTCCAGGATGGGAAATTAATCAGAAGCATGATGGCACTTGTAGGAGAGAAACATAGGAAACAAATCTGCTGCATGTTATTAATAGACTTGTCAAGTGAGGCAACACATGTGAAATGATGTCGTAAGGTGGAACACTGTACTGGTTTTGATTTACCGTCTGGCACGGAGGTGAAAAGCATTTTCATTTTTTTTTTTTTTTGAGTGGGGACGGGGTCATTAAAAGCACCACAGTGTTAAATCACAATCGTAAACGTGTTTATTAAGCTTACATTTGAATGACGTTGGTCTTTGGTCACCATTTTAGAAGCTGAAGCCAAATGCGTTCATCAGAAAGAAGAAGAAAAAAGAAAGTATTTTTGTGAACCGGGAAGGGCATTTGACATCATTAAAAAAAAATTGTACTGCGTTTTTTGGTCTGTTTCTGTTCTTGCATAAAGGCAACAGCCAACGAAAATAATGAAAACACGTTGTCATGTGCAGAGACGTTGACCATTAGGAGGGTGTTATTAAAATATATATTTTTTTGTTCTTAAAAGAATATCTCGAGGAAAAAAAAATAGATGGCAGAAAATATCTGGCATGCAATGAAAAGCAAAGTCATTAGTTGCTTGATGGTCTTTAAATTGCTTCTCCGTGTGCCCTCAATTGCTCCCCTGGGAAAGATAAATTTTTGTGAATTGAATTGAAATCCGACCTGGCCGCAGTCAGTCGAGTAAAACAAAACATTGACCAAAAAAAAAAAAAAAAAAACAGCAAAACAAGAAAATGAAAAATTTGTAGATTTTTTTTTTTTTTTTACATTTCAGATTTTTTTTTTTTTAAATCATTTGGACAAAAACAAATTTGGATATGCAACACAATGTGGCAAAAACGTCACTTTGCGTATGACATCATATTCTCTTAACTTGACAGCAATCGAGTGCAAATTGATTCAACGTCACCTCTGATCCAAGCAGTCGAGCGCTGCGCGCCACTTTTCCCTCAGCCTCTTTAAGACGCAATGAATTGATTCAATTCTTCGCAACTAAGTCATCGAATATCCGTTATATGGCGTAACATGTGAGACCAGATAAACAAGCGTGTACTCCATTTTGCTTCGCTTGATCAATGACTCTTTCTCAGATGATTTTTCTGGACAGAAGCCTTTTGAAATCTTTTCACACTCGCAGAATCTTCTGAATGTGCTGAACGACGGTTTCACGCCATCGTTCAGCACACCAAAGCGCACGCCGCGTTCTTCATTTGAGACCTCAAACTAATTGAGATGGTTCGACCAAGTACTCATCCTCACCACCGAAATTCCTTACGATCATTGTTCATTGGAACTGCTGCTACTCTTTGCATGTACGTTGACGTACGAGCACCCCCAATCATGATTTTTTTTTGAGCAAAGACTATCACTTGGTCAATGTATTTATTTATTCATTTATTTTGCTTCATGTTGCGAGCCAAATTTAGATTGACGAGCTAGATTTGGATACACCGGCGCCCCAGTGAAGTGAAAAAAAAAAATAGAGACTCCAACTTGCTGATGCACTTGTACTTGGAACAATACAAGCAGTCAAACACACGAAACGAGAACATTGGCAAAAAGCCGTAGTTGGCCAAAACGTAAGATCCTGAAACTCACAGAGTTCTAACCGGCGAGACTATCACTTGGTCAATGTATTTATTTATTCATTCATTTTGCTTCATGTTGCGAGCCAAATTTATATTTTAAGAGCTAGATTTGGATACACCGCCGCCCCAGTGAAATGAAAAAAAAAAAATAGAGACTCCAACTTGCTGATGCACTTGTACTTGGAACGATACAAACAGTCAAACACACGAAATGAGAACATTGGCAAAAAGCCGTAGTAGGCCAAAACGTAAGATCCTGAAACTCAGAGTTCTAACCAACAGTGTTCCTGACGTCAATGCCCACTTTCAAGGGACGCAGCTCAGGCACACAGTTGCTCCTTTTAACTTTTATAACTTTCGAGAGGTTTACATGTGATGCATTAAAACACCTGACAAAAGGTACGGCCGTACCATATCGAATCAAATCGTAATCCCGCTGAACTGAATCAAATCGAATCATTCCACTTGAAAATAGTCTGTTCTTGAATGGAATTGCATCCTATGTATCGAGGTATGTATTGAATCATCTTTTAACACAGAGATGTTCAGCACTTGCAATTACGCTTTATGAAACATGTTTTTTCTTTCCCTTGTCATGTTTTTAGATAAAACGGTGCGATTTTCTTCATTAACCCTTTCATACGCCAATAATGATAACCTGTAACCTGATAACCTGATAAACTGTCCACTGTAGTAACCGCTGTCCCTGAAACGGTTAAAAACATAACAAATAATGTGGTGTTTTTTGGACAGGCTGGAACGGATTAATGGAATTTCAATTAATTTCAATGGAGAATATCGATTTGGTATCCGAAAAATTAAGTCAAAAAAACGTAGGCTGTGACCAAATTAAGCTTCTCAATCAAGGGACCACTCTACATGCAATAATACTTTTTTAATTTGCCTTTGACCCGCGGTCAGCCCACGGCTTGCTCGGTCATGACACAGAATCTTGTGCGTGTGTTGCTGTTGCTTATGTACACACACACACACACACACACACACACAAACACACACACACACACACACGCACACTCACATAAACATAGACACTGGCGGGAAATCGGCAGCCATTGCATGTTTGTGAGAACAGAACTCGAGGACGGTTTGGAACATGATCAGCTCTATTACCCATGGGGTGGAGGTGTGTGTGTGTGGAAGGGGGGGGGATAAGGTGTGTCTATGTGTGTGTGCATCAGTGACAAGCATTCATTGTACACAGAGAGAGAGAGAGAGAGAGTGAGAGAGTGAGTTGGGGGCTCCCCCATCATGACAGGAATTGAAAACATAGCGAGAGAGAGAGAGAGAGAGAGAGAGAGAGAGTGAGTCGGGGGCTCTCCCGTCATGACAGGAATTGAAAACATAGCAAACATCTTGTATCCGTACCGGTGTAAGTGGTGATGAAACCTCATCAGGTGCTTGGCTTCTCTACCATTTTCTGACTATGTGTTTCGGTGTTGTTGTTGTTGTTGTTGTTATGACGTCAGCACACAAGGCCCAGCTGCGGACAGTTTGCGGCGACAAACCCAAGAGCTGGCCGCAATTAGCACCCCCGGCGCTCTAAAACAGAATAATGTGTTTCTTGAAGAATTCTACTGGAGGGGGGAAGGGTTGGCGGTGCGAACAGATCAATCGCTAGCCGCCCCCCTTATCATTTGGGTGTTCTCTAATTGGTTTACTGTCACGGGAGGAGTAGCGGGTTGTAATAAACCACAAATATTATCAACTACTCTTGTGACTTCAAAGGGGAACTTCAAAGTGTTTACAGGAAAGTCAAGCATTATTTAGTCTGATGTTTTGTTTGTTTTCGCTCCCTTTCAAATATCAGCAGCTAACAAGAAAAATATGGTGTGGACTAACTTTTAAAAATCATGAAATGTTCCGTCTTATTTGATTACTATTAAATTAGGATTTATTTATTTATTGGTTTGAGTTGCCAGCGAAGCTTAGAAAAAGAACTCCAATAGTTTTCATGCAAGTCCACCGAGGGTCATCCTAAATTGGTGAAAAAAAATATGATCAAAGTTGCCTAGCCCTGCTGTACAACTCATGACAGGAATTGAAAACATAGCGAACATCTTGTATCCGTACCGGTGTAAGTGGTGATGAAACCTCATCAGGTGCTTGGCTTCTCTACCATTTTCTGACTATGTGTTTCGGTGTTGTTGTTGTTGTTGTTGTTATGACGTCAGCACACAAGGCCCAGCTGCGGACAGTTTGGCGACAAACCCAAGAGCTGGCCGCAATTAGCACCCCCCGGCGCTCTAAAACAGAATAATGTGTTTCTTGAAGAATTCTACTGGAGGGGGGAAGGGTTGGCGGTGCGAACAGATCAATCGCTAGCCGCCCCCCTTATCATTTGGGTGTTCTCTAATTGGTTTACTGTCACGGGAGGAGTAGCGGGTTGTAATAAACCACAAATATTATCAACTACTCTTGTGACTTCAAAGGGGAACTTCAAAGTGTTTACAGGAAAGTCAAGCATTATTTAGTCTGATGTTTTGTTTGTTTTCGCTCCCTTTCAAATATCAGCAGCTAACAAGAAAAATATGGTGTGGACTAACTTTTAAAAATCATGAAATGTTCCGTCTTATTTGATTACTATTAAATTAGGATTTATTTATTTATTGGTTTGAGTTGCCAGCGAAGCTTAGAAAAAGAACTCCAATAGTTTTCATGCAAGTCCACCGAGGGTCATCCTAAATTGGTGAAAAAAAATATGATCAAAGTTGCCTAGCCCTGCTGTACAACCACACAAGAAGCTGAATTGCATAACAAGACTGGGCAGTCCAAAAAAAATTAAAATGCAACCAAAAGCAAGTAGTCGTCGGTTAACTGGTGAATTAGATTAAAATAAATAAATAAATTAATGCTTAATGGATGGATATATTTACAAAAAAAAAAGTATAATGTATGTAATCCAAACTCCTCAAAGTCGACAATACAAAATTAAAAAAAAAAATCACTCTTTTTTTAAGGGATAAGGTGTGTCTATAAAAAAAAACATTTTTGGGGAAAAAAGTAAAAAGAAATGTGTGTGTGTGTGTGTGTGTGTGTGTGTGTATGTGTGTGTGTGTGTTTGCGTGCATATATATATATATATATATATGTACTCATACTCTTATACAGTGTGTGTGTGTGTTTGCGTGCATATATATATGTACTCATACTCTTATACTCTATAGACAGAAATAAGTAGTCCTCATTTCACTATTATATAACTAAATGCCCAGGTTTAAACCTAAGATGGTGTTACATGCTTACACGTCATCTTGTGTGCGCGTGTGCGTGCGTGTCCTTTGTCTTCCTCACTCCACTCAATTGAGACAGTTTGCACGCACGCTGTCACACGCTCCACGATTCTTAAAATGCACCCACGCTTTGAATTGAACAACCCCATCGCGTGTTACTCTCAAAGCACAGATGTTGCACAACGGCGTAGCAATGTGCACATCATAGGCGGGCAATTAATGACGGTGTCATTCGAACATACATCCATGCGTAAAAATGCCACTTATTCGTCCATTCGTCATTTAAAATGGCACCGACGTCACATTTACATGTTGGAATATGGAACATTCACTTTGCAACAACAACTTCACGTTGAATTGACCGTTTTTAACAAACAGTTTATAACAAACTAACAAATAACTGTTGCGCAAAGCAACAGGTTGGTTCGGTCCGTGAACGCCTCACCGCGGAGGACGCGTCAGCTTCCTCGCGAAACTCACCATCAGTAGAGGTCCAGGTCCAAACAAGACGGTCTCAAGTATGACGTGATACAGTAATAAAGTCCAGGAACGATCAACAAGGTTTTAAAAACGGAGCCTTAAATCGGGCGTCTTCTGGGCTCATTAAATCCCTTTCGAGGTGTCACCAGAAGCGCAGCGACGTCAGCGAAGGGCTCCGAGCGGGTCGGCCGGCGCCGCTCCTCGGCCGAAGGGAGGGAGGGATGGATGCGGGGCGGGAAGGAAAACGGGAGAACGAGGCGGTGCGCAGGAGGGACGTGTCCGAAATGAGCCAGCATCCGAAGCCCCGTGGACTTTTTATGTATCCGCCCAATTTCAATCTTCCTGCCCGCCTCTCCTCCTCCTCGTCCTCCTTCTTCTTCCATGCGCCCTCCCCCCCGCGCCGTACGCGACGCCCCCCTCCCTTCATCTGTCTCAAACACCTTGAATACCCCACCCAACACCCCTTTTTTTTTCACCACCACCACCACCACTCCTCAATAAGAGCACACGTTCTAATTGTGAACGCTCCAAAACGTCTCGTCTTGTTGTTGGTGTGTCATCCATCCACTTGCCCATACATTACTTCTTCAACATCCGTCCATCCGGTATTTGTCTTCTCCGGCCATGCATCCGACAATTTGCCGATCCATGTGGTCATCCAGTCGTCTGTTCATTTCTTCACCCAGTCAACAATTCGTCTGTCCATCCAATCATTCATCCATTCAGCAATCTGCTCAGCGAACAAGTTACCATGCACCTTTCCATCATCCAACCATAAATCCATTGAGCTGCCCAGCTGTCCATCCATCCATCCATCGTCCATCCATCCACGAACCCGTTGCCCATCAATCACATCATCCGTCTGTCTGTCAACAATTTCCGTCCATCCATCCAACCATTCATCCATCCATTGTACATCCAACAGCCTGTCCATCTATTAACCCATTTAATGATTTCCATCCGCCCATCCATCCCTTCCACCCTTTTCATCCGTCCAGCCGGCCAGTTCACATCCATTTTGTGACCGCCGATAGTTTCATCATTCTGCCGAAACGAAAGCACCACTTTCACTTTTTATGACGTGACTATTTCACTCGTCTGTCCGACAATCCCTCCATCCATTCCATTTTATGAGCGCATTCTCACAACCCCTCGTTCCATGATTGTCCGTGTAGTCTCGGTGATTTACAAGACATCGTCGGCCAGAGAAAGATACTTTCCCCATTCCCAATGCGAGGCGAACGTGTGCCAAACTATCGCAACAGAAGGATGATATGTGAAAGTCGCAGATTATTTACAGCTGTTGGCTGCACTTGTCGGGTTTGAATAAGCACTCCTGAGCAAGACCGTGTTGACGGATGAGCCATTAAGGCTTGGAAGCGCTCTGGATGAAAACGGTATAAGCAGTACCCTCTGGCCTACTTTCATGTCATTATTCATTTTCATTGATTCATTTCACATTTCTGACAGTTTTGTTTTGTTTTTTTACCTCTGGGCTTAACCTTTGTGCCATGCAGATAATTGGCAGGTGGTGCGAAGAGGAAAAGTACAAATATTTTGGGAATGTACTTAAGTAGATTCTTTAAATACATTTGGATTGAGTTTTTGGCCACACTCGTCACTGAAAACACTCAAATCGTGTTTTCCCATCGACATGAATGGAAAGGCAATGAATCCGTTCAACCCTTTCCCAAAATACAAACTAGAAAAGTTATTTTGACTTGTATTTGAATGAGGAAAAACAACACTCCATTATATTGCACTTCCTAAAAAAAAACACACTTGTTTCAGAATTAAAAAGAATGAAAACGAATTCAGCAGGTTCAATGCTGCTCCTTCTGGTGCGCCCTCCTTGGCCACCTGGAGGCAGTATAACACACACTGTTCATTGAGGAGTTAATATAAATGAATCCTTGCCTCTTTGCAGTAGCTAATTTTGGACAATGGGAGCACTTCCTTGACAATAACATCTCAGCTCCTCTAAGCTTATCAGTGCAGAATTAATATTAGCCGTTCTATGTGGAGGATGAAGAATATATGACCGAATACTTGTTATATTGCCTGTATACATGTTGCTGCTTAACCATTTGGTTTCAATGCATTGCTTAAAGTGTAATAGCAATGTAACATGATTACTAATTAGCATTAGCATGAAGGTGGTGGGGATTTTTATTTTATTTTTTTATGTAGGCAGCTGTTTGAAATGAGTAGGGTGCAATTGTTTTAGTTGGGAGTGCAATAAATAGCTTGAGGTGAATTTATAATTTTTCATGTTTTGTTTTGCTAATGCAGGACTTGTCGTCTTCTACACGTTTTGCTTTTACCTGTTGAATCAGTACCAATACCTTTACTACAGTATTTCTTTAAACAAGTATGTGTACTTGTACATTTGTAGTTAGGTAAAGGGTGTGAGTAGCTTTGCCATAATTGTCACTTAGGGGATTTTTATGACTCAGGCCACTTTACCTTTGGACACATGCCTTCTGCATGACGCCCCATGGCAAAGATTATCCCAGGAGGACGTTTTTTTTTTTTTTTTGCCAAAACTGTTCTGCCACGCTTATTTTCAGCAGTCCACACCTCGTTTGCGTTTTGTTACTTTCAAGTCACAACTTTAGGAAATTGCAGCGCCATGACAGGGCTCAGAATCCACTGCCCTCACTTTCAGATCCCCCTAACCCCCCCCCCGCTCCATTTCGTCTTTCGTCACGCTCCCTGTGTGATTTCATATTGAAAGCAGAATTAAAAGCAGATGAAAATTGTGAAAGAATCCAAACCCCGCTTTGACCGATGTCAGAAATTAGAGATGTTATAAACGTTTGGGCCGAAATGTTTTGACTGAAGAGAAGGCAATTTAACACATCGCTGACATGTACGAGCAAACAATGAGACGTAATCAACCCTTGTTATTGTAACACAAAGCAGAGGGAGATGCTTGATGGGACGAATCAGATGTGACGTCACCGCAGAAGCGTCAAAGACAAGCATCGAGACAACTTTCAGAGCAGCCCTGATAAGACGTCACATAAAAGCGATGGCGCTATTTGTTACGGCCTGATAAGTAAATGCCGGCATGTCGCACGGGGAACTGCTGCAGCTTGCCCTCATCCAACAGGATACCGCTGAAAGACTAATGTCTTACATTCTGATCAAGACAAAAGGGGATCCAATAAAACGCAAGATTAATATCGATATACACAAAATTACATGGCGTATTGTATATTTTAACGACACGCGCGGGAATAAATAAATAAATAAATCTTATGTCTTTATTGAGGGCGGCACGGTGAGCGACTGGGTAGCACGTCCGCCTCACAGTGCAGAGGTGCAGGGTTCGATTCTGGCTCCGGCCTTCCTGTGTGGAGTTTGTATGTTCTCCCCGTGCCTGCGTGGGTTTTCTCCGGGTACTCCGGTTTCCTCCCGCATTCCAAAGACATGCATGGCAGGCTGATTGAACACTCCAAATTGTCCCGAGGTGTGAGTGTGAGCGCGGATGGTTGTTCGTCTCTGTGTGCCCTGCGATTGGCTGGCAACCGGTTCAGGGTGTCCCCCGCCTACTGCCCAATGACAGCTGGGATAGCCTCCAGCACGCCCGCGGCCCTTGTGGGGATAAGCGGATCACAAAATGAATGGATGGATGGATGTCTTTATTGAATTCAGTGAGGAAAAAAAATGGCACGACCACCACCGTGCTTCACTGATTAGATGAAATCCAGCGTCTGGTGATATCGATAGTGGCTTGCAAAAGTGTTCACCCCCTTGAACTTTTTGACATTTAGGTCACATTTCAGGCTTCAAACATAAACATGAAATGTCTTTTTTTTTTTTGGTTTTGTTTTGTTTTCTGAAAAATCAACACCAAGTGGGACATGATAGTGAAGTGGAATGAAATTAATTTGATAGTTTTAACTTTTTGGACAAATAAAAACTGAAAAGTGGGGTGTGAAAAATTATCCCCCTCCACAACCTCCTCCCCACCACCCTCCATGTACAGACCGATGCATTGCGCTCGCCTGGGCGCCTCCTATACAAATACGCCTTATGAGTACCGAGGATTCCGGTTCAGGTGTGTGCTGTGTTGCTTTGAATTGGGTGACTTCACCTCCACGCGACTGTCACTCAACCTCTCTCAGAGCCGCTCACCTGTAGCGTACTTCTTCATCAAAGGTGTGCATCGGAGAGGCACCGCTCACGCTCCTACGGGTTGACCCGTCATCCGTCCTCTGCGATGTCTAAGTCGTGCCTCTGGACAAGAGATAGAAAACAAAAAAAAAAAAAAAAGGACAAGCAAAGTTTCCGGACGGATCGGACAAACTATTTTAATCCCTGTAATGGAATTGGCATGTAAACTCATGAGGCTGGAAGTAAACAGAAGGAAAATGGAGAGGGATGGACGTGCTTTCCAGAGGAAAAGCTGTGTTGAAACTGACGGTTCGTAACCCCCTCCTTCGCCTCTCCCTCCCAGAGCGAGCAGACCACAAGATACTTTAAAACCTTTTCCGGACCATCTCTTGTAAGCGCATTTCCCAGTTTGGATAAACACGGCAACCTTCTGGCCACAAAGAATATTTATGCTCAAACTTGAGGTTTGTTTTTAAAGCAACAGTAAGGAATAACATTTTTTTGCTCACGAGCTCCCGCTGCTGTCGTGTATTGTAATTCGCTTGCAAGACAACTGTTGGAAATTCAAGTTGCAAACAACAAGCTAATGTAAACTAGCTTGTGATTTCTACCAAAAATTCTTTCTGACAGTGGTTGATTATTCCAGGCAAAATATTTCTTAGTTTCAGCCCAAACATTTTTTGTTTTTGTTTTTTTTGTTGTTGTTCTTTCAGAATTAAATACTTTGAGGGATAATTTGGAATGCAACAACAAAATATTGTTCATTTCAGGCGCTATCTTCAGAAAATTCTCAAATTATTTTGGAATTTCAGCCAGAGTAAAAAAATAAAATGGGAACAGGAATGATCATTTTCCTGCGATATAGTGTATTTATATTTGTATTTTATAGTGTGTATTTTTTTTCAAAAATTACCTCAGCTAAATGTGATTGAAATTCAGCAAAAAGAAAAAAAAATGGAAAGACCAAAATACATTTTTGACAAAATATTTCAAAAAAATAATAATTTCTGCCACAAACATTTTGAAGAAAATGATTTTGATTCCCAAAATAAATCATTCGAGACCAATTCTTGATTCTATTAAATAACTGCCCCAAAAGTAGTTCGTAGTCTCTGACAGGAGGTCAAGACGGAGGACCGGAGTAGAGCACTGGCTTTAGCCCTTCCACACTGTTTGTTGGCTGCCGACGACAAATGGGGCAAGCTTGTG